AGAATGAGTGATGTCTTAATGGTTACCTTCTTTAGCGAAATAACGGACGTCTACATCGGAATCCTTTTGTAATTTATCCAAACAGGGCTTCACTTGCGTCTGAAGTGTACTGTTAGGCAAACATTAGGTGAACATTAGTATGAGATATGAGATGACAATCAAATCATATAATAGTCAGTACTTCTGGTCAAGAATTGGTCCAATTTTCTGTAAAGTCTTCGCCACATTGAAGCGAACATTAGCCACACTGTCTGCCCCTAAAGTGATAACTGTTGGAAGCATTAACTTCTGGAGAGAACATAAGAGATAAATGTGGTTAATGTGTGGCAATGAATGGTTGATTGAATGGTACAAACAGTGGTGATCTCAGGGCCACAAGCGTTGGCCAACACGTTGATGGAGAAGAGACAAGTCATTCGATGCAAATAGTTCTGATCCCTCGACATCTGCAGTACTTTTGGAATCACTGTATTTGTGGCCCAATCGGAGCCAAACTTCTCCACCAATTTCTTAAGGTTTTGTGTCGCGGCCTCTCTTATGGCGAACACTATTCACAATACAATGGATTAGTATAATAGAGGACAGGGAGGGAAAGGGTGCATACCTTGGTCTACGAGCCAAGTCATGCAAAGTGTGTTCAGCTTCTCATCGAAGAAGTCGACGCCCAGCTGTCCGGCCAGTAATGGCATGTATTGAATGATAGCTAAGCGGACGCGCCATTTGGTGTCTTCGGCCAACTCGACGATTGCCGGAAGTAATGATTGACTCAATTGTTGGATTCCAATCACTTCGTTAACACAATCCAAGTTTGAGATTATATTAAGTCTCACTTCTGGACATTCGTCCTTCAATTGTGACAAAAACATTGGCAACAAGTGTTCAATTGTGTTGTGTTTGCCCAGAATGGGGGACAAACCCATTATGACCGACGCGAGCGCAGACTTCACGTGTTGGTTGGGGTCCGACACCAAGTCCTTCACACCTAAGACGTGATGCAATCGATTAGCAAAAGATCACATAAATGCGATAATAGAGTGCATTACAGGGCAAGACGTTTGTCATAATTAGCTGTTCCTGAGAGTCGGCGGGCGTTAGGTTTTGGCAAAAGTCGCGCACTTTCTGTGCGGCCGCTGCTCTCACTTCCGCCTCACAGTCTTTGAGGAGGTTCTGAAAGGCAGGAACCAAATCATTGCGAGTGATGTCGGGTCCCACAGCCTTCTGGAGTTCTGTGAACTTGTCTGCAACCATATACCGCACGCGCCATGACTTGTCCTCCGCGGCCGACCTCAACACTGGCATCACGTGTTGCTCTATGTCTTCATTGGACAGAAGGGAAGCGATGGAAACGCACGCCTCGACGGCCAGCAGTCGGACTGAGTCCTGTTCATCAGACGCCAGTTGTGACCACAAAGATATCACTTCCGATTTGACGTATTCTTGTTCTAACACTTTGGCGAACTCTCCCAACTTGGCTGCCGCTGCCCTCCTGACCATTGGGGTGTCGTCTTGACATAACTGCCGGAATGAACTGATAATATAAGACATTCATTACTCTCTGCACAACAACTCTATGTCTTAAATGGAGATTAACTCCAAATGACTTCTCAGATAAGATAAAAATGTAATTACTTTCGGAGGTCTGACTTCACTTGATTTGAAACTCTCGGATAACAGACACTGAAGAGACCGCAGGCGCTGGTCCTCGACGTAAACCAATCACCTGATGGTTGAGCCAAAGACATGACATAAATATCAGACATTTTGCAAAACCAATTGATCCGCCAATGGATGCATACCTGAGGCTAATCTCTTGACGAGTGGAACGAAATACTGCTCCAAATCTTGCGGTGAGTGCTGTTGGGAGACATTCCTGAGACTGTCGACGGCTTTGTCTCTGACGACAGTCTCCTCGACGGTGGCCAACGACTCCAACGGCGGTAACAACACGTAAACAAACTCTTGTCCGCCGATGAGTGGCGTGAAGGCGCCCAACTGCTCGGCCAACGCCAGCAACACCTCGTCCTCGTCATAGATGGTGTCCGTCAAGAAGGGGATCAGTTCAGTGCGCGTGCGCTCCACTCCTAAGGCCAACGCAATGGTCGACAACTTGCGGATCGAGTTGAGCCGCAACTGCAACACCGGTCAANAAATGGGGAGAAAACATCCAAACATAACATACGAAGAATATTGTCGATCGACTGGAGGGTTAGTGAACAGTAAGTCACAATACTATGTGTGATCTAAACTCTATATTCTAAGTTTAGACTAAACTTGCCTGTCTTACTGTAGAAGTCGATTCCAATAGAAGTAAAAGTTTGAAATGATTGAAATAACTTGAAAATCATTTATTAACAAAATTATGTCTACAAAACATTGAATGGAACTGTTCTTACTCTATATAATAAAGTATTATCATTGATACCATTATATGAAATAACAATATATTTATACTTATTTTTATATACTTTTATTAATATTTAAATAATATATGATAATATATATTATTCAATCAGTAGTTGTCATCGATAGGAATGTCGTGCTTTTGCAGAAGAGCTTTGAGTCTTCGGTTCTCATTCTTTGTATCAACAAATTGCTGGCGAATGGCATCCAATTCATTGCTATAGGAATGACGAAATAAGTATTAATACAATATTTATGTCATGATTTTATTTACACTACATATCACGAAATATATCAAATTATCAGTCAATAACTCAAACTAGAAGTTTAGGCTACAGTACAGTATGTAAATTGATTTGACGCTTTATATGTCATTGAAATGAATATGAGATAAAAAATTGTGTTTAAAAACAAAGTAAAAGTACTTAACATTCATTTAGAAATCGTATAATATAATAGTTTAGTATTAATATTAGTAATAAACTTATAAATACTTCAAAATCTCATTTTCTTTGAGCACTTCATTGAGTCGTCCGTTTTCGGCGCACAACTCCTGTATATATTCTGTGGCTTTGGCCAGAATTCCGCCTTTTGATTGGCCCTTAAGACATACCTTACATATAATCACACGACAAGTCAACACATATACAGTATATCATTGATACCTGTTTGGTGTGGTCCTGTTGACAGTCGGGAACTACTTTTGATAACTTTATTATCCAATTATTGATTTTATCTCTTCTCCGGCGCTCCACTTCATTATGAGTGGCTCTCCTCTTCTCATCCCTGGCCACACGAGGCACGCCTCCAGAGCCCTCTGAGTTGCTTTCTGTCAGAGCCATACAAAAGCATTACCAAAAAAGGTGACAATTGGTTCAATTGGTGACAATTACTGGCTCTTCTGATGCTAGACGTTGAGTGAGATATGAGGTCCGCTGAAGTGGGAGCCATCATCACATAGTAGGGACCGTCAGTACCACCACTCGTGGCAATCGGTTGAGAGGCACCGAAAGGATTGCTCGCATGTGCTGTCAATCAATCATATAATGAGTTATAAAATCAAAATCATTGCCAGCAATGAGTGAACCGACCGGTGAGGAGAGCGACAGAACTGTGTTGAGTGGGACTCACTATAGTCGGTGTCACCACTGATTTGGTTCATAAGAAATGCATTAATCATTGGTATAATGGGTTTCAAATGAATGGCAAAGTGTTGCGCACCTGTATGTGTGGGGTGTGAGTCGTCAACAGTGACCACTCTGTAGGTGACGGCGCCTTCAAAGTGCGTAAACAAGCGTTAATTGTGTGCAAAAGTGGTCAATGAATGCATGACTAACCCGTCTGTCCGTTCTCTGTCTTGAACTGGTACTGAACGGAACCGTTGCCCGACTCGAAGACTATGGAAACAAAGTTTAGATGATTGTGGCAAAAGTTTGCGTCAAACTCAATGGTAAAGTGAGGCCTACTTTGCGGTTGAGAGGACCGGCCCTCACTCCTCATGGACTGCGAGTTCTCGTCGTTGGAGTCGATGCCGGGATCTGTTGGGAGACAAACACACGTGAATGAGATGAGATATGAGATGATGAGGCGGTGGTGCAGACCGTCGTCACCGTCAGCTGTGATCTGTTGTGTATCATCGGTGTCTTCGGGGGAACTGTTGGTGAGAAACAATTGATACGTAAATGTATTGCTTTTGACGAATCAAACCAACGATGAGATGATTGCAAATGAGTTCAAAACCTGTTATTATCGACCAATCGGTCCATGAATTCAATTTTGGCGTTCAGTACAGTAGTCACGAGTTGTTCACTCAGTGGTCATGTGATCACTCAAACAGAGGTCATATGATTGGACTTCAAAATCAACACACAGTCACTGAATTTGAGACAAAAATGGCCACAAATCGCACCAAACCATCAAATACGTCAACCCTTCACACAGTCCTCTCGCTTCACTCAACGCACGGCCCACTCGAGGGCTCTCCACAGCTCATCAATGGGGCCGTCATTGACGCTCAGACCCATTGATAGCAAAGTAAATAAGTTTTTGGTTTAACATAAGGAAACTGTTTATTACTTAAGACTTAAAATTACATCCATTTATGAAACACTTGTTATAAATAATTGCAATTTCCGACTAATTATCGACAATATGTGTAATTAAAGCCAAACTCATTAATAGAGACAATGATCGGTGTATTCAATAAATTATATAAAACCAGATAAAGCGAGTGAAGTGACCGCTGAGGAGATAATGAGATATTCATGTCATTAGTAATGGGTCAGAATGAGTGATGTCTTAATGGTTACCTTCTTTAGCGAAATAACGGACGTCTACATCGGAATCCTTTTGTAATTTATCCAAACAGGGCTTCACTTGCGTCTGAAGTGTACTGTTAGGCAAACATTAG